ATCAGTCTTACCTTAGAGTCTAGGATTCTCCGATACTGACTCAATACAGATTTAGTGAACAGCAGCTGGGTGCCAGCACACTTCTGGGTGTGGGAATACATGAAGGACATAATAGAAACAAAATCCTTGCCCTCAGAGCTTACATTTTGATGTGGTAAGATAGAAAATAATGGTACTAAACAAATTGTACAACATGTTAGAAAGTTATATGTTTTATGGAAAAAAATGGATGAGAGTAAGTAGTAGGTCTGGAAGTGGGTGGTGGGAACATAGCTAGCAGAGGTGTGCTGGTAAATGCTGGAATATTGGCATTTGGGGGTGAGGGGACAATGTCCTGATCTGTAGTAGTGGCCAATTTTGATGGGGTAAATATTCCTGCTATGGCAGATTGCAAGCTATGGATGTGACATCATTAAATAGAAATTGGAAAGAAGTACACAGAAGTGCAGCATTATATATTATTTCTACCATACAGATACAATAGATCTAAATAGCCTAGAGTACAGATAATAGTAAAATGTAAAATAATTAATGAGATGAGTCAAATGTTGAATTTGGGCACTTTTAATGCTGATTTCTAATACAATTCATTTACAATTTAATTCTCATTAATGATTGTGTATACTAACAGGCTTGCAAATTTGCTAAAAATTTAACCCTCAGCTCTTGTGAGCTGGCACTTAGCCAGCTCCAGCACACCACTAGTGGTTAGGGAAGGACTTGTGGAGAAAGCCACATTTGAACAGAACCCTGAAAAGTGTGTGGCTATCGGGGGATGGGTACTCTGCTTCCTTCCTGGGAAAAGTTGACCCTTGACATGGCCATGCCTTTGCACATGCTGTTCCCAGGGCCTGGAAGATCTCTGTCCTCACTGCCATCCTCAGTGACAACCTTCAGGGCCAAGCACACACATGATCTCTTGGGTAAAGTATCTTATTTTTCTCAGACCTCCTCAGGTCCTCTGTGGAAATATGGGCAGCTGTGAAGGTGGTGTGAATAAATGGCTAGAAGCAAACAATGATTCCCTCCATGATCCCAAAGCATGTTAAACCCAGTTGTTTTAGTCCATTTTATTATTATTCTGTTCATGTCTGTTCCCTGTGGATCCCTTTTTCAGGGTATGAAGGTGCCAGGATCATAATTGATGCTCAAAAGTGCTTAGCTATTGAATGGATTAACATTGACCTTAATGTGGGGTGGTTTAAGACATGGGTGGGTTTTAGAGCTCACCCTTCTGTTGGTTCCCAGACAGGGTCCCTTATGCTCTGGTAACATTGTTGGCATGACCACCTCTCCCTCTCTGCATGGGTGAGGCCCAGGAGGGCCTGGTCAAACCAGCCACATCACTTATTCGCAGCAATAGCCATTGCCTATCAGGAGCGTTAGCTCACACTACATAATCCTCACCACAGCACAGCATGTGGGTGTTCTTACCCCCATTTCTCTTATAAGGAAAATGAGGCTGTGAGAGGCTAAGTAAGTCACTCAATGTCACTTGGGTAGTAAGTAGCAAAGCTTTCACTTTGCTGCACAGGGTAAGAACTGGTTCCAGGCAGTAAGAAAGTCAGGCACGTAAAATATTAACTGTAATAACAGCAGGCGGCAGAGCTAAGTGCTCATTAGAATCAGCAGCCACACTTGGAAGCACAGAAGAAGAAATCTGTGGTTCTATGTGAGGCAAGTGGGCAGGCAGCACCTGGACACCATGGAAGCTGCTGCCCTGAGCTTGGACTTCCGGGTGGGAAAGGTCTGGGGTCTCTGGGCCCTCTGGCTGGGAACATGGGTGTTAGTGGGACCTCAGGAGAAAGATTTTTCATGAAGCTGGCTTAGGATCTCCCCCAAGCACCTTGGGCTAGTGCCATGTATTCATTTATGCATTCACTGAAACAAGTTGGGATACTATTTTTTAAACATTAACTTATTTTTTTCTTTCCTGGTTTTTCAACCTTGAGGCAATAGAATGGTCTGGGTCCAAGCCTGGGGAGATGGGGGAGTTCAGGGAGGAAGGTACAAAGAGCCCACAGGTCTCATTTTGGCTTTGCTTTCCCAAAACCCAAGTCCTTAAGGGAATGCAGAGGATTGGGGTATCCCCAACATATCTGGAGAAAATGCAGTAAAGAGAGATCAAAGATTCCTCCATTCTAGCTGGGTATGAGAAGGTGTGGGATGATCTCAGAATGAGGGGCCTGGGGGCTGCAGATCCTCAGAAAGTTTTGGGGATTCCAGGGGTGGGTACTCTGCCTCCTTCCCAGTCAGAGCCTACAGGCAATTGAGAGGCTCCTGAGGCAGTGGCTGCAGGGAGGAAGCCTCAGAGGGACACGGAGAGACTTTGTGTTCCAGGCTGGCAGGGAGGAAACAGAAGGAGCCTGCGCCCAGGTGAAGCATCGAGGTGCAGAGAGCTTCACTAGCCCCCGGCAGGGTGTGTGTGTGTGTGTGTGTGTGTGTGTGTGTG